GGGCTCTGCTACAGCTGGGCCCCCCAAAACCCTGGGGCCGTCAGAGCATCCCTAGGCGGGACGGAGGCACCAGGATGGCAGCAGCCGCCAGCCGGGCGCAGGGACGGGGAGCAGCGTGACACAGCGCAGGGTCTCACTCACCTCCCTGCCCGGCAGCCCCCTCTCCCCGGGCTCCCCTCTGCTGCCCTTCTGGCCCCGCAGGCGTTCGGACACGGGCAGGAACGAGTCCGAGCTCCCGTCGTAGGCGCCCGTGAGCTCCTTGAGGGAGAACATCTGCAAGGGACAAGGAGCTGCTGGGCCTGCAGGTCATCCAGCCACCTCCAGCCCCACGACCAGGTGCTCCTTGGCCAGTGGCAGGAGGAGCCCCCAGCCCATGAGTGTGGGCCCAGGGCCACTGGATACACACCTTGATGCCAAGAGATTCCAGGCTCCGTTCAATGTTCTGCAATATGGGGACATTAGAAATGAAGCTGGTGCCAGCCTGCTTGCCCCATCTGGGTTCTGGAGGCTTCGCTCTCCCAGGAATAACGTCCCAGCCTCACCAAGCTCCCAGTGGTAGGAGCTTTATTTGGGGGTCAGACAGACCAGCGGGTAACTTACCACTCCTGCGCCAGGCTCACCGCGTGCTCCAGGATTGCCAGGTCGACCCTAGGTTTGTAAAGCGAGAGGGAATGAGAAGACCTACCATGGCACTGACGCTGCCCTCAGTAGTTTCAGAGTGAACACAGGAACAAGAAGCATGAGGTGGGGCTCTTTGGAGCCTGTCCTTCAGTCCTGTCCTGTGTGGCCTGGGGGTGATGGGTCCGGGCAGGGCATCACAGGGCAGCCCTGTCTCATGGCCCTGGCACCGTGGGGGCACAGAGGCCCTGTGCTTGATTTCAGGAGCTGCCTGGGGAAGGGGCAGCGATTCCCAGCGCCCCGGGGCGCTCTCGGCTTGCCGTGCTCTGCTCTGGGTACTCACCGGCTCCCCTCTGGATCCGGGCTCCCCTGGGTCCCCCTGCAACACAGCACGGGCATGAGGGGCCGCAGGGCCGGGCTGCCCAGCACCCAGGTGAGGGCCCAGCGCGGAGAGGGACCCGCGTGGGGAGAGGCTCCCCCCTGCACGGGGACCTCCTCACACTGCAGGGCCCAGGGGCAGGCTGGAAGTCACCCACCTTTGGTCCAGCAACACCGGGGAGGCCTGGCGAGCCCTGCAAGACGCAGCAGGGACATGAGGGCACCCAGCACAGCCGGGGCAGTGCCCGAAAGCAGCCGTGGGGCAGGGCTCCTTCGCAGGGCTCTGCTTGCCCAGCGGGAGCCCGGACCCCTGGGCTCGGTGCTGGGCAGAACCAGGAATCCTGGACTACGCACCTGGCCGGGGGGTCCAAGCTGCCCGGGGACGCCAGGGAGCCCGGGGGCGCCGGGGGGGCCTGGCGCGCCGCTGTCCCCCTGCTCGCCCTTGGTGCCGCTGCGGCCCTGCCGAGAGGTACCGGTGTCACTTCAGGAGGCGGTGGCTGAGGACTACGGGTGCTGCAGGCAATGAGCTGAGGGTGCCACAAGTCCACGTCCTGCCTCCAGCCCAACGCTCCTTAACGCAAGTCTGGGGGCAGCCAAGCCATGGCGGGGGCCGGGGATGCTGGCGTGGAAGGTGAAGCAGAGCGTGGAGGAGACCACGCTTCTCCACCAAAGTACTCACATCTCTGCCAGGGGCTCCAGCATCACCTTTTTCTCCCTAATCAGGAGAAGAAAGAGGAGTTAAATGGGCGCTTTTCCCATCAGCTTGGCACTGGGAGGTGCTCCCAGGCGAGGAGCTGCTCCAAGCGAGACCCTGGCCCAGAAGGTGCCACGACGCCCAGCAGCGTGGAGGAGACCACGCTTCTCCACCAAAGTACTCACATCTCTGCCAGGGGCTCCAGCATCACCTTTTTCTCCCTAATCAGGAGAAGAAAGAGGAGTTAAATGGGCGCTTTTCCCATCAGCTTGGCACTGGGAGGTGCTCCCAGGCGAGGAGCTGCTCCAAGCGAGACCCTGGCCCAGAAGGTGCCACGACGCCCAGCAGCTGGGCTCTGCTCCCTACCTTCCTCCCATCTTCTCCCGGCGTGCCGTCTTCCCCCTGGAAAGGCAGCCCCGAATCAGCACCCATCTCCCGGCATCCCGGGAGCATCCCAGCAGCGCCATACGGGACGGGACGGGGCCGGTGCCGCAGGCTCCGAGCGCAGCCAGCTCGTCACCATGCACTGCCCGTGCCCAGGGCTGGGGACTCGTCGGGGGTTGTGGGTCCCCATCCCCTGGGCCCTACTCACATTCTTGCCGTTGAGGCCGGGTTTGCCGTCGTCGCCGGCTTTGCCCTGGGAGGAGAGCGTTACCGAGGGAGCAGCCCGGTGCCGCGGCCCTGGGGCCGCAGCTC